GTTTGGACCTATAGTTCGAACACCTAAAAATGTAACATCTGTTGGATGCAAATGAGTTTTTATATGAAAGAAATGAAAATAATGAAATTACAATATACAAAGTTCGACTCGTAGTTATGTTTCTTACAAAGACCATGAATTGATTATATGAAAACAAATTCTATTGTAATGGAAAATATCATTTTTATATTCTTAATTAGTTTGACTATGTCACAAAGGCTCGATATGCGCCTTATGGATGTAGTTACTATCTATTTGTATGGTTCATTTGATAATGACATGTATATGAAAGTTTATAAATGACTTAAAGTACGATAAACAAATGATACATACTCGAGAACCATGTTCTCAATTAAATTGTAAAAATCATTATATGGGTTGAAACGATCCAAATGCTGTGGTATAATCGTCTTAGTGAATATTTGTTTAATGAATGCTATAAAAATGACGATGTCTGCCAATATGTTTTCATAAAGAAAATAAATATTAGATTTGCAATTGTGAGAATTTATGTTGATGATTTAAATTTAACTGGAACCTCTGAAAAACTCAACAAAACTGTAAATTATTTGAAAAATGAATTCGAGATGAAATATTTGGGAAAAATCAAATTCTTGAACATTTTCTAGAAAGATTATTTGTTTATCAATCCACATATACAAAATAAGTCTTAAAACGCTTTTAAATGGATAATGCACATCTATTGGCATCACCTATGGTTGTTCGATCACTTGATGTGAAAAATGATCATTTTTGTCCACTTGAAGATGGAGAAAAAGTTCTTGATCCTGAAATACCATATCTTAGTGCAATTGGAGTATTAACTTATCTTGCAATCTGTACTCAACCCAACATAACTTTTTTTTTTTTTTTGTAAATCTCTTTGCAAGATATAACTTTACACCAACACAGAGACATTGGAATGATTTTAAACACATTTTTTGTTGTCTAAAGTTTACTATTGATTTGAGATTATATATTCTCAAAAGTCGGGATTTGTTTTAGTGGGATATACAGATGCATGGTATCTCTCTGACTTACATAAAGTTAAATCACAAATAGGATACGTGTTTACACTTGAAGGAACATCTATATTATGGAGATCTGTGAATCAATCCTTGACAACAACATCCTCAAAACACTCTGAAATTATTGCAATACATGAAGCAGATAGATAATGTGTATGGTTGAAGAACATGACCCATCATATCCAAGCATCATGCAGATTAATTTCAACAAAAGATAGTTCAACAATTTTGTATGAAGACAATGCTACTTGTATTGCACAACTCAAAGGAGGTTATATCTAAGGTGACAGGACGAAGCATATTTTTCAAAATTCTTTCATACACATCAGCTTCAGAAGAATGGCAGCATCGATGTTTAACAAATTCGTTCAATTGACAATGTGACTGATTTATGTACAAAAGCACTACCAACATATACATTCAAGAAATTAGTTCATAAGATTGAAATGCATTGACTCAAAAATTTTCAGTGATCAACATCATGTGAAGTAGTTATACTCTTTTTCCTTCACTTAGATTTTACTGGGTTTTCCTAACAAAGTTTTAATGAGACAGCATGTATCTTTAATATTTCAAAATAACTGTATTCTTTTTTCTTCGTTTGATTTTTTTTTCCCGTTGAGTTTTTATCAAACAAGATTTTAATGAGACCCATATTTCGTAATATGTCATTCAAATGGGAGTGTTGTAAATGGTAATTTATTCGTGAATGACAATTGTACTCCTGCAACTCTAGAAATTGTTATCATTGTATCCCTAATCCTGTCATATAGATATAGGACTTTGGTTCTCATTATAATATTTAGAAGTCTATTGACATTTAGTATCTCTTCTCTTGTCCTATCTTTTTATAACAAAAATATAAGGTAACACAGTCTATTTATTTATTTATTGAGTCAGGTTGCCTAAGTCAAGCTCGAGACACATCCAACTTATTTTACACCAACGCTAAAAAAAAAAAAAAAAGATCAGAAATTGCATAGATTTTGAAAATTAAGAAAATGATCACAAAAGAGCCAAATTAAGAAGAGAAATAATGTATTAATAGAATTGAGGACAAATAGCAAATGTGAACGTGATTTTATGTTTTATTACAAATATGTCTACAAAAAATGGAATTTAAAGAATAGCAACTCTTCTCCACATCATTAATAACGTGTCACCCTATTCTTATTCTCTCAGAAACCTTAAAATATCGATTTCTGCATGAACAAATTATAGAATCAAATCATCACCATTAAGCATTAAGTCAAACTGAACCATTGGTGCCATGAATGAATTGAGCTCCTCAAAGAAGTTATCCCCTTGAATATTGTATGCGTATAAATCGTTGGATTCAAAATGCGTTTTTATATCTTCGGGAATGCTGCTCTGTGGTGGATCCGATTCAAGTGGTGTGCCGGGATACTCGGCCGCCAGGGTCATGTCCATCATTTCCTTAAACTTGGAAGACTGTAACAAAAGCCCCAGTGCTGATGTGGCAGTGGCTCGTGGCTGAGATAAGTTGGCATCACTATCGTCTAAAGGTGGTTGGAGATGGTCGAGGGTGGCTAAGCCACTAAAGACATGATTTGAGGTTGGTGGTGAATTAGTTTCAACAATAGGGTTGGACTCGTTAAGGTCATTATTATTAGGTTTCAACCATTTTATGTAACGACTAAGGTCAAAATTTGTGACTGCGTTTAGTCCACGATATTCTATGGCAGCCATGTCGTAGGCAACTGCAGCCTCTTCTTGAGTTGCTGCAAAGAAGTTAATTATGTGATTAAGAAATATATTGGAAAAATTAAGGTAAGACAACCACTAAGTTCTTAAAGATGACAAGATCATAGTAGGTTTCGATTGGTTACCACCTAATCACTAACCCTGACGCATGCATATAATATATGTTTATTGCTAATCACGCAACAATGTTATATTTGATTGAATAGAGAAAAAAAAAAGTATTAAATTGGTTTACTAAATATTAATAGAAATTAATTAGGGATTTAAATAGATAAATATTTACCGTAAGTCCCAAGATAGAGGTATTTGTTGCCGAAAACTCTTCCAATTCGAGCTTCCCATCTTCCATTATGATGATGTCTGTGAGTTGAAAAAGAACTTCGAATTCAGAAATATATAGATATTATTAACATAATTTTAATTAATTTCGTGATATTATTAATTTTCTAACCTTAATAGGTATAACTAGGTTAATTTTTATACGCGAATAATAGTACGATATTAGATAGAATTAAAGAAGATACGAAATATGTCATTAGTGTTGTTTAAATGGTGAAACAAGTATTAATTAATTTGGCGAATATAAGTTTATCGACCATCTTGTACCTTGCAACTCCTCTATATTTGGAGACCCCTCGAGAAAATCCGCTGCTTTTTCTGTAATTTAAACGTAAAAACTCATATTATCGTTTTGATTTAAAAAAAAATAATAATAATAAATAAATAAAAAGAAAAAGTATACACACACACTAGTTAAATTAAATCAGTTACCTTCTTATTGATCCAATATATTCTTCCCTAGACCGAGCCTCCATTTCTTTCAACTCGTTCTCATACATTGGCAACTGTAATTGTGAAATACATGTCATTTTTGAGATTTTTTTTCCCTATTTTTAAATCAAAATTAAATGAATTTACAAATTTAAATTTCACTTATGAGAAAATTAATAATTAATTACCGGAAAATTAAGAATAGTATCTTGACCCCAATACTTAAGTGCAGCCAAGTCATAAGCATGTCCAGCTGCTTCTTCATCATCATAAGCTCCTGAATACAGAAACATATATAATTTAAATATATTGATAATAGAACTGAATTGGCAAAAGAGAGGGAAGGTATTATGAACATACCAAGATAGACTGTTTTTGTCCATTGAAATGACACCAAATTTACACCAGCAAAAGGGATAAAAATTAGTTATATAATTCAAAATTCTTAAAAATGGTAAAAAAAAAGCATAAAGTACAAGAAAAGATCATATTTTTGCACAAACCTTGTCTTCCTTTCTTGTTTTGTGCTTCATTCCAACAATTCTTATCCCACAAATGTGCTTCATATTTCCCCGTCCATCGATGCCTTGAATCGATATAATACATGCAACAATATTATCGACTAGTATAAAATATAAAACTCTTAACAAAAAATAACACAATTGCATGACGATGTTCTTGTATCGAGTAGTTGGATCATAATCTATTATAAAGTTATAAACTATCCGACTATGAATCTCATGAAAAGTTTTATTCAGATGAAAACATGTTATTCTTTTCTTCGTACCTTGTGACGCCACGAAAAATCGAACTACGTTGAGGCGGTGAGTCTCTGGGTACAGTTTTCCTAGTACGTTTGGCCTTCAGTCCAGGATTTGTTGCAGCTTTGGCAACATTTTTTGAACTGTTTTTAGTTTGGGTTTTTTGTGATAACTTGGCCATGAAAGCTAGAATATGACTAAGGCTTTCAATGGAGGGGTTTTTAAAGGAAAATCTTTAAAGGATTGCCGTCCCCGACCGGCTAGTTTGTGGTTTCTTCTCTCTTGTCCTAATTTGTATTTTGTTATTCTATGAACTATCTGTTTATAAACTGCAATTTATTCTTGCTGAATTTTTTAAAATATCATTTGCAATAAATATATATTTTTTTTATGTAATATTGCATTTTGTCCGATTTCTTAAACTAACATTTTTTATTGCAGCGTATCACAATGTTGGTAGACGTGTCTTTTAAAGGTAATTTACTTAGAGGGTGTTTGGTGGGGATTAAAATTAGATTTTTAGTGGATTATGATAGAAGTTTTTGAAATGTGTGTTTGAAAAAATGTAGGACCCATAAAAGATGTAGTTAATATTGATTGTTTGACTTTGACTTAGATTAAAATCATATTTTAATCCGGTCCAAACATGCCCTTAAATTTATTCACTGCATATAGAATTCAACTTTCTAAGGTTCGTATATAAATAATAGCACGAAGTAAACCACTTTCTATCAACAAAAAAAAGCCTTGAGATTATTTACATATAGATTAGAAAAATATTAAACCACACACAGTCTCTAATTCTTTTCTTTTTAATCACATATTTAGCCCATGTTGATGGTCAATAGAAAGAGTTTTTTTTTTTTTTGTCGGGAAAATGAGTTCTGGAATAGCAATTCTTTGGAGAATTTGAGGTTAAAATATAGGAAAAATTTTTGAATTTACGTATAAAATATTTTTTTTGTGAGAATGCATTATATA